GAGCGGGTCGTTGCAGTCGCTGCCCGCCGTCCTCCTCCCCCTCACCCACCCCCATTTTCCCGTCCCCCGCTTCCTTCCCAAGGGCTTCCAACAGGTGCCGCGTCCGTCCCACTTCTCTCCGCGCCCAGCCTCCCCCGCCGCCGCTCCCCTCGTTCGCCTAAGTATTCCTCCCACTCCCTTTGGATTGCATTCCCCCAGGAGGAGGAGGAGGAAAGGGGGGGGCACAACGAGAGCAACGCGCGCAAACACACACACACACTTTGCGGCCGCCCTCTTTCGGGGACTGTGTTTTCACGGACGTGTCTTGCGCCGAGAAGAGCCGGCCAGCCTCCTAGAAGCAGAAAACCTGTCCCTTCTTAGGGCCTCTCGGATGGGGACGGGGGGGGGATCTGAACGACCCACGCTTTCTCTCTCTCTCTCTCCTTCCCAGCCCCGGTGATATTGTATTAGGATAACAGGTCCCCCCCCCTTTTTTTTTCAAATGACAGGAGCGGCCTCTCCGCCTGCCCCGGGGAGCGGCCACGCACCCCACAGCGCGGGGAAGGCAGTGCCGTGGCGGATCTGCTCCTCCCGAGGAGACCCTGATCCGTCGCAGGAGGGGGGGGCACTGCCTTCCTCCTCGGCGCCCGAAAGCCTCCGAAAAGGCCTCTCGGTCCTACCTGTCGCCTGTTTTATTTATTTATTTTTTGCCGGCTCTGCTTTGGCACATCGTGACTCGGCAATAATCAGCCCCTCGTGGGAGGGAGGATCTCTGTTGACTTTCCCCCCCACACACACACACCTTCAACATGCGCTGTCTTTGAAGCGGGGACGACCCCGACATTAGCTGCCTCTGAATATCGTGGAAGGGCAACAAATTAAAAACTCGTTATGTTGTCCTTCGAGTTGCGACTAGGTGGGGAAGAGCTATCTGTGGGATCGGTTTGCCTCAGATACCACAGTACCTTGGTTGGGCGCATGTAGTATTCGTGCAGTTATTTTGTTTATTTCATGTTCGTGCTCTCTCTTTCCCATAAAGAGACTCTAGGAGATCACAGCCATTATGGGGTGGGGGCATTTGGTCTTTTGTCTCAAGCCCCAAAATGTCTAGGATTAGACCTTCTGTCATGTACATGTCATTAGAGGTAATGATAACCATTGTGTGCTGTGGTATACGGTATAGTTCAATGTAATTTCCTCCTAAAAGGTATTTAGCTTCCCCATTTCTCACAATGAATCTTGATCCACCTGTTTTCATATGCTCAACACAAAACCAATAGTCTGTTGAAAGGACATAGCAAAATAATATGTCTCTGGCTTTTAAAGTGGACAATGTGGCAATTTAGTCTGGTTTACTGAAAAATATACGGTGGTGAAAGATGCAGTTCAGCAAGACTGGGTTATTGTTTTAAAACTTGGGATTGTAAAAAACACAGGCACTGTTGCTGAGTCAGGTTAAAGATACCAAAGGTTACATGATTAGGGTAACATTTCATTGAGTAGCCAACGGTGAGTCTTGGATCATTTTGGATCTGCTAGAATAAGAAAAGAAAAAAAAAAACCCTCTCTTTTGGCGGTTGTTTTTTGTTTTTTGTTTTTTTGTGTTGTTGTTTTTTTTTGCTTTTTATTTATGCTTCAAAGTTATTGTCATAAATTCCAAACAGTGATAATTAAAATAAAAATACTTTAATACAAAGATTTGGCAGGATTTTGATCTATATCAGAAGTCAGTAACAATATTGTGGCAAATATTTCCAAACTTCTTTTTCACTAGTAGAATAAATTGTGAATTAGTGTATTTATTTTAAATTAAAAGCCAGTGTTCTCCTATACTATTTTTACTCTGTAGAGCAGAGTTGGGAAATGTGTGGTCCTCCAGATTTTATTAGATCACCACTCTCATTGTTCCTAATTGTATGGTGGCTAGGGCTGATGGGAGTTGCCTTGCCAGGTGGGCCACGGGTAGCCACTCTTCCTATCCCTTCCCATTTACCCCACCTGAGGCAGGGCTTGAAAGGGACACAGTGAAGCTGAAAAAAACAGAATTATTTTCTTTTGAACTTTGTTCATCATGTGAAGTAATCAGGGTTTTTTTTTTATGTCAGAGGGCATTGTGTTGGTTATCTGTACATGAATATCCCTGTAATATAAAGCAAAAAAGCAACTCAAGTAAGTTTCTACAACTCAGATAAGTTTGTCTTTAGGTATGACAGATGCTTTGAGTAGAATTGTTTAAGATTTTTATCTGTTCACTAATTTGATCAGAAGCTTTAATGAAAAGGCTAAAGGTGTTTCCTTTGGCAAATATGTACAGTATATCCCTGTGCTTGGGCAGAAGAAACATCTGTACTGTGATAGTGAGGAATAAGTTAATTTGGCCTTTCTGTTCTGGTCAGAAAATTCAACACGTTGCTGAAAAAATGTTGTTGGTTTCTAGAGTTCTTCTTGATAACATTTCATTGAGTAGCCAACGGTTAGTCTTGGATCATTTTGGATCTACTAGAATAAGAAAAAAAAAACCCTCTCTTTTGGGGTTTTTTTGTTTTTTGTTTTTTGTGGGTTGTTTTTTTTTTTTTTTTATGCTTCAAAGTTATTGTCATAAATTCCAAACAGTGATAATTAAAATAAAAATACTTTAACACAAAGATTTGGCAGGATTTTGATCTATATCAGAAGTCAGTAACAATATTGTGGCAAATATTTCCAAACTTCTTTTTCACTAGTAGAATAAATTGTGAATTAGTGTATTTATTTTAAATTAAAAGCCAGTGTTCTCCTATACTATTTTTACTCTGTAGAGCAGAGTTGGGAAATGTGTGGTCCTCCAGATTTTATTAGATCACCACTCTCATTGTTCCTAATTGTATGGTGGCTAGGGCTGATGGGAGTTGCCTTGCCAGGTGGGCCACGGGTAGCCACTCTTCCTATCCCTTCCCATTTACCCCACCTGAGGCAGGGCTTGAAAGGGACACAGTGAAGCTGAAAAAAACAGAATTATTTTCTTTTGAACTTTGTTCATCATGTGAAGTAATCAGGGTTTTTTTTTTATGTCAGAGGGCATTGTGTTGGTTATCTGTACATGAATATCCCTGTAATATAAAGCAAAAAAGCAACTCAAGTAAGTTTCTACAACTCAGATAAGTTTGTCTTTAGGTATGACAGATGCTTTGAGTAGAATTGTTTAAGATTTTTATCTGTTCACTAATTTGATCAGAAGCTTTAATGAAAAGGCTAAAGGTGTTTCCTTTGGCAAATATGTACAGTATATCCCTGTGCTTGGGCAGAAGAAACATCTGTACTGTGATAGTGAGGAATAAGTTAATTTGGCCTTTCTGTTCTGGTCAGAAAATTCAACACGTTGCTGAAAAAATGTTGTTGGTTTCTAGAGTTCTTCTTGACAGAATTGAAACCAGTGGGAATATTATTTAAAGCAGCACTTATGCTAGGAGCACATTTTCTTTTAAGTGTCATGTTCATATATAATTTTACATATCAGTTTTCCTAGTGGAAAACAGAACCAAACTAAACTGAGAAAACACCCTTGCTCAGCTTTTTTTTAAAAAGGGAGTCAATCATGATTGCCTGCTAACCTTTCCACCAAGAACAAGCAGAGGTAGATGATACTTGTTCTGCTGCCAGTGCCCTTCTTTTGTCCCTCCCTCTAGCCCACCATGCATTCTTTGTGAAAGATGCCAAGTATTTCTATGCTCATCCATGGGTGGAAAATACTGGAATTCTTTATTGCTGCATTCAGCATGCAACAGCTGTGTTGCAAGGAATGGGAAGCTTTACTTCTCACCACAGTTATAAGAAAAGTGATGCTGTAGCTGCCAGACATGTCTCTTCTGCAGGCCAATATTAAAAATACAAGACTCATCTGCCATATTGAATAGGATTTGTTTTCAACAGCCTGTATCTAGGCTCGTAAATGCTACTGAAAGCTCCTCAGTAACCAGAAATGATCTCTTCTGTATGGGGACTTGGACATTCAGGAGAATATCTGTCACTACAAGGTGTCTGATGTTTATGCAAGGCTCAGAATGAAATAGTTGTAACCAGGTGAGTTCCTCTAGTGAGAGCCAAGCCTTTGTCAGTCTTATGTGAGAAGGCAGCAGGGGACAGCCAAGTGAGTTTGGAAGGGAAGGCAGCCATCCAAGTGCTGTGCCATTATTAGCCAGATTAACTTAGTCTTCTAGACAGCTCACTTTGGGATGCTTCTGGCAAGATCTGTTAAGGCTGCCCCTCTGGAGAGAGCCTTCCACTCTTAGAGATGTGCTGAGATCAGATGCTGAACGATGAGATCATAAGAAGTCTTCTGTTTGTGTTTCTTCTACTGAACCTCAGTGAAAGGTCCAGCGCTTAGTCTCTTAAATACAGATGGAAATCTGTTGAGTGGAGAACAAGTTCAGGGGACTGAAGGAGTAAGCAAATAACTGTGTCCTAAAATATAAGGACAATCTAAAGGAATGTTTTCCAAATTTGGATCCCCAGCTGATTTTGGAATACTGTGTCCATCATCCCTGAACACTGAATGATCATGCTGATGGGAATTATGGGAGTTGTAGTTCAACAGTCTCCAGAGACCCAGCATTACCAACTACTGCTTTCATTTCAGCAAACAAAATACTGTAACTTGTTCATCAAATACCATGTAATTTGAAAGACTATGTCATTAATCACTAATAAATAAGAATTAATTCAGGCAAAGGGTTTTCTACTTTCCCTCTTTGCATTATGAGCAATGAAGCCTAGGAAATTAAGGAGTAGAGATTTAACAATCAAAAGGAATCAAGATCCTTTTGATACCCAGTAGAATTTGATGGATCAAAGACATTAGAATTTGTTGCCAAGGTGAGCTGGCCCAATTCTATAACCGGAAAGCCCCAAACTGTGAATTAGTCTAGAAAATTAGGAAAGTGTGCTTTTCTGCTTCCACCTTTTTTGTTTTATTATGAAAAACAAAATGTTTTGTTTGAGTGCAGTATTTGGAGGCGATTGCTGCAGCTAGGAGAAAACAAACGGGGGATTGTAGCTATATTGTGAGAAAGGTATAAGACCTGTAGTTGCTTTCAAAGCATCTTCATCTCTGGGGAAGTGATTTCTGCACCATTACAATTGAATAGGCTTTAGTTGTGAGCGTGACAGCTGCGTTGCCTCTGCTTAGTGATTCACTGTGCGTATGAGTGCCATCCAAGGCATGTGGGAGTACTCGTGTTTTGCTCATCATGTGTGGGTGTATGAAAGGCAGATTTCTTTGTTCACAGATTTCAAAGTTCTATTGACTGTCCTGAGGAGTTGATAGAGATCATAGATGCTAAAAACTAATACTATCAGTAACTTCTAATTCTACATAGGATTGCCGCTTCAGACGGGCAGAGCTACGAATTTCTGTATAACTGAGTTCTCGTTCTTGTGCATAGAGTTGTCCAGAAAAAAAGAAAGCTATGTAGGCCTTGTCATATGTTTCTCTTTCAGGAAGGTCTCCCTTTTCCCAGATGGAGGAATTCTCTCTTTCTGTGTAAGCTGCCGCTTTCTAACTTGATTTGTTTCTTCTAGATGCAGACATTCCATGTTCCGTCTCCATGTGGCAAAGCAGAAGATTTGGCCAGTGGAGTTACCATTGCTCAGGTGCTGCATAAGATGTGAGTGTCATTGGACTCTAGCTGGAGATGGCAGTATTGTGAGGGTTTCTCTTGAAGCTGATTGTGAGACAATGTGACAGAAGATCCCCTATCTACTCCCTATATTTCTCTACTCTTTGCCTGATTAGCAATTTTAATGTATGATGTGAGTGCCTAGATATGTTTTTCTTGCCTAGCAGTTGGTTTGTAGCTGTATAGGTAACAGCCTGGCCAAAGAGGCAGCTCTTTGGCATGTTGGGATTATGTAGCAGAGATCTTGATTTGTGAAACAAGAACAGGTGGGTAGGCAAGCAAGACACTGGATGCCATGTCACCTGGAATTTCTTTGGGAGAGCCCGCAGCTGCTGAGCACTTGCGGTCTGCTGTGCAGAGTTCATTTCTTTCCGCAGCCAGAGATGACACTGTGAGGATTTTCCTTTTCAGAGACCCTTCTTGGTTCACTGAAACGTGGCTGCTGCGGATTAAAGATGATACTGGTGACAACTGGAGGCTGAAGGTATGAGGTCCCATGGGCCAACACGTTTAACAATCCTGGATACTGTGATACACCCCTAAAGTGTTGAGACCCTGAGCTATCAGTATCTAGACAGCTGTGTCGCGATGCTTACTTGGGACAAATGTCTACAAACATGTCTGTAGAATACTCTTCTGTGTTCAGTGGAATAAGCCCTTTTAGAACCTTCTGGGAATTTGACTCAAAATATACGTGAGGGGAAGTATCCATTTTGCCTTCTTTATTGTGCTGGAGAACAGTTGCACTTTGGTGAGCAAACTGGATGAAAATCAGCATTTTTAACCAAAACACAGGAAGCCAAGCATACGCTGGGGTGAAATCTTTTAAGAGTGGGTTGTGGAGTATTCTTGTAAGGTGCCTGTGGGAAGCCGTCAGGATGAACTAGAGCTTTCCCAAAAAGTAAGGAGTTTCTTGAAACATTAGAATATTGTAATTAAATGACCGATAGTGAAACTGTCCAGGTTTAAAAAAAAAGAAGAGAGGAGGTAGAAAATGAGTTGGTGGCATGGCTATATAGTGTTGTTTTGGCTTCAGGGGAAATGAAAAGAAAGAGCATGCAATGGGACCAAAACTAGGAAGAAAGATAGATGCAAAAAGATGAGTAGAAGAGGGATTATTGCCTGTTCTTTTTGGATCAGAAGGCAAGAGAAGGGAGGGATAATCAGCTGTATGAGTGGACACCAGTCATGAGCTTTCAAGCTCAAGCAGCAGTAAGAATTCAAGTGAAAGGAATTAAAGGTCTGCCATGCATTGATGGACATGAAAATGCTGGTGTTATGAGGGAGTTACAGCTTTGGCTGAATAAGACAGTTGAGTTAAAAACGACTGGTCCTAGAAGAGCCATTCATTGCTCTGCACGAAGAAAATGTTATGACTTCCGCGGAACAAGAGGGCAGTGTGCTGAGTTGGTGAGGCTGTGAAACTTCCTATATAGCATCTTTTAGCGTGGAAGGCTGTCAGTCCCCAGTTCAGTAGTTGTGTAAGTGGGACTTGGTTATAGTGAGTTAGTATTTTCCCTGCATAATACATCAGGCTATTGCCTTGTCAATACCAACAGATAGTTTTCAGAAGGGAGCATCTGGCTGATGTGCTGGAGTCACTGAAGGCTCATTTTCATTTTCCAAGAAAAATAGTACCAGAAATAGATTGAGCCAAAAAAATTCTCTCAAGAGATATATAAAATGATGGTGGAATAATTGATGTAGAGCTTCTCTCGGGAGAGAGGCCAACCAAGTGGGAGGAAGGGAGAGAGGATGGACGGATGTTGCTATTGTAGTAGATAGGATGTCCTTGGCCTGTGTTAACTGGCTTCTGTTTTGCTCAATCAGAAGGGGGGGATGAAATTTTTGGATGTTGAAAAAAATGGGTTTTATTCATTTTAAAAATGCCCTGTGCATTTCAGCCTAGTAGCCTTCTTCAGTGGTTAAGAAAAGAAAAGAAGAAAGAGGGCAATGTATTCTTAAAAATTGTAAGACATTTTACTAATCATATTGAATTTATGCATGAAGTTATCATAATTATATCTTGTCGTGCTCTGGTCCATGGGGTCACGAAGAGTCGTATGTATATTAATTTAATAATATGTACAGTGATCTCTTACAATCTCTTTTCAAGCTTCATTAAGCAGCTGATGACATGCAAAATGTAATGGGTGCTCAACATTTTTAAAGTCAATAACAATCCCGAGACTTGGTCTTTCCTTGTGATTAGCTTTTCAGTGAATATTTCCAGTTTCTTTTGGTTTTTGACTTCTGTTTTAAAACTTTGGATCACTCACTTCTGTGATTTGAGGGATGAATTTAAAAGCAAGGCATCTTTTTCAAATATTGGAAATCTAGCTTTCTGGAGCTTCCTTACTTCTAGAGCTTCCTTACACCCACCAAAGCAGCTTGGAAGCCTGTTGCGTGACTGGCTCTTCTTCCTCCATCCCAGCATCACCATAAATGTTAGACTCAAACTTAGGTACTGCATGATCCATTGTAAGTGGGAACGTAGTTGGACTTAACGGTTGGGGCTGATCTGTAATACATGGACAAACCTATCTCTGTACCTGTCCTTTCCCTCCCTCCATTTTGCCTCCAGGTGAGCAACCTGAAGAAAGTCCTGCAGAGTGTAGTTGAATATTCCCAGGATGTGAGTATTTTTCTTGGTCTGGGTTTGCCAACATGGAGAGAAGGGGATGTCTGCATTTCTGGTCAGGGCACAAGCCCCCTGTGAAAGTTAAGGGACTGTGATTAGGCAGCAAAGGAATGCTAACAGGGAAAGTATGGAATCCACATCTGGGTGCATGGCAACCAGCACTGAAACTCAGGGGGCCATTGTTCTAGGTCAGCATTCCTTGCTTCCAATGTGTAATTTTGCTAAAACAGCTATACTCCAAATATGCTGGGTGGTTTGTTAGTTTATTAAAGCTGTGCTTTCCCCACTTCTAATGGAAGGTTGGTATCATATAGCAGAAGGAATGGTAGGTAGAGGCTGAGTTCCCTGTGTGGTGATCTTGGAGCAATCACTTGGCCTGTCCTTTTTTCACTGGATGAATGTAAGAATACAATTAAGAAGTAGGATCATGTGTGACGCCTGAGCAATCTCGAGGAAGGGGTGGGTGGATTAGAAATGTAATAATACTAATAGGAGATGCTGCCTAACAGAGAAAGCATTTGGGCATCCTGCAGTTTTCTAAAGCTGCTGCATGTGGTAACATGAAGGCAGATTCTGCTTATCACTGCTGGTGATTGTTTTCAAGCCCAGCTAAAGATTTTTAAAACAACATTACAGCTCCCCTGCAAACTGACAGTCCTTTCTCTTCTGCCTGGTGTGGAACTCGCTACCCACAGTGACCGTGAGCTCGGAGAACGGCAAGGACCTTGGGAAATTCTCTGACTACAGGCGGCTGTCTCATCTTCTTATCCCTCAGGTCCTGGGCCACCAGGTCCCAGAGCAGCTGCTGCCCGATGTAGCCCAGGTTGGCGAGCTGGCTGACACACTGGAGCTGAGCAAGTTACTTCAGCTGGTGCTAGGCTGTGCCATCAGTTGTGAGAGGAAGCAAGGTATTCAAGATAGAAGAAAAAGTGGAGTTGTTTGCTGTACGTGCTTCAGATACATGGGAATTAGGCACTGTTATGTAGAAGCCCCATTAGTTGAGGTCCTGGTTTGTCCTGCTGATAGAAACTAGTTAGCATTGCCCTTTGCTAGATCCTCTCACCTGAGCTGACCTGATTTCATTCCTAGGGTCACATGTTCTCCTACACCTCTCTCCGTTTGTCCCTTCTTTTCTTCACTCCTGTTTCTCATTGATGCGTCACTCATTTAAAGCTTCTTCAGGCAAACAAGGTGTTTCTGTGGGAGAGCAGCTGACATTTTGGCCCCTTCCCCCGCCCAGCCCCCCCCAGCTGTCCTTCTGACCATTGGCCTCAGTCCTGGAAGCTGAGCCCTCAACTCACATAGCTGCATGTTTCTCGTGAAAGGGGGAAACATGAAGAATTGGATAGAGGAGCCAGCTAATTAAATGTGACACTTACCCAGTCTCTTTGGTTTCCAGATCACATCCAACAGATCATGACCCTCGAAGAGTCTGTGCAGCACGTTGTAATGACAGCCATACAGGAGGTGAGTTTGACCATTCATAAAGCAATTAGAGGGCAGAGCTGGTTGCTTGGCTGGCACCGATGACCATCTTCCTCTCTTGTGTTATTTGAAAGGAATACCCCACCCCTCCCCCAAAATTCCCTGCCAATCGTGGCACTCCCTAGATGAAAGCTCTGGAAAGCATGCTCATTAACTGGCACCTTCTGCTGCTGGCAGAGTTCTGTGAGTGCGTAACCTGAGGTGAAACCTTCCCTATCTTGTGTTGCAGTTGTTGACCAAAGATTCGTCAGACACACTGAGCTCAGAGACATATGGGAACTTTGACAGCCAGGTATCCAGCAGCAAGTAGAGCGGTTTGAGATGGGTGGTATGAACCAAAATGGGGGAAATGGAAGAAACCTCTGCTGAGCCATAGCTTTGCTTTGGGAGAGAAAGGAGGTGGGATGATTTTTTCCATTGACTCTGCCCCTCAAACCCATGCCTGGGCTCTTATTTTCTTGCAGTCCCGGAAGTACTATTTCCTCAGCGATGACCTAGAGGAGACAGATGACATGCGCCAGCGCTGCCATGACCTTGAGCAACAGGTGGGTTCCTGATCTGAGCCCAGAGGCTCAGATTTGGGAACTAGTCTGGTTTTCTGTGGCCTCTGAAGGCTCTTTTTCCTGGACTTCAGGTGACGGCTGCTGGGAATCTTGGCCAAAAAAAGAAGTTGAGCAACTTCAGGAAAGCCTTTCTGCCCTTGCTGGTGGTGGCTGCACTTTCTGGGCATGACTTTTGCTGTTGGTTGGAAAAATATGTATCTGGGGTTGCATTTCCACAGATGTCCTGCCGGGCCATTTCCAGACCAGTTTCTTGGCAAAGCTCAGTGTCTGTACTGTCTGGGGGATTCTGGGAACAATGATCAAAAACACTAATTTTTTTCAAACACCGTTCCTTAGTTCACATTGCCCTCCTGCCCTGTATTGTTCAACTGCACCCATGATGAGTCTCCAGGGCCTTGGAGAACATTCATCGTCCAGGCACTTAAATATTTTATCCTCTGTGTGACAAGCAAACTAAGCCTCAGACAGTCCTCCTAAGCTGCCAAAGGCACAGGTTTCAGGTGTTTGTGGGGTTGTTTTTTTTTGAATGGTGTGGGCTTGCTGGGCAGCATGGGACCAGCTGGGTTTGGCTGCAGTATGGTGTGCAAGAACCTGCCCCCTCCTCCTAATGCACAGTTGTTCTCCTCCAGCCTAATGTTTTTTAGGTGCTCTGGATGGGGAACAAGGCTAGCTTGGTGATTTGGGGGTATCCTTGCTCCTTTCTGGCCAATATCATATTACTAGTTCTATCTAGAGAAGACCCATTCACTCAGTTAAGGATAGATGTGTTTACTTTTCAGCAATTGATTCAGTGGATCTACTCTTGCTGAGACTAATAACAGGATACTGGCCTTAACCCTGGGTTTTCCTCTATGAACCTCCTTTCATTTTATCCATACTGGGAACAAGACCAGTGTCGTACAGACTGGTGGAAGTGAAATACATACAGCTTAACTGTAAAGGCTTTGGGATAATGTAGCAGAAAGAGACAGTGGGTGGTGAGGAATCTATAAAGGGATAGATCAATCTCTCTCCCTTAAACCCCTCCCCCCTTTACTTCTCCAAGGTGGTAAAGTGCCCCTGGGGATGCAGCCCCCTTCAAAAAGGTGAGTGTTCCTCCCTCTTCCCTCCGTCTCTGTCTCTTGCCTCTGATAACAAAGCTGCTCACCCAGCGACCAAGCCTGTGCGTGGTGGAGCCAGCCTAACTTCTTTGCATGAGCATGTCCCATGCTGACAATTTAACAGCTGCTTGAATGTGTCAGGGGGGTTGCCTGTACCCAAGCAGGCGCATATCTAGCCTCTTAGGAGAGCCGAGGGTACAGTTAGACAGGGAAATACCTTACATTTGGACCACTTGTAGCACAGTTTTGTGCAAGTTATTTCCAAGCAATCACATGATGTACAGGCAATAGCACTCGAGCCTGACACTAATCTGTGCTGAAGCTGGTCCTTTTTGGTCCAACAGTAGGGCTCCTCTTTTTGAGGGCTGGGCTTGAGAGATTCCTGGACAGGCAGATCTCTCTTTAACGGAGATTGCTCGTGGCACAGTGACCCTTTCTGCTGTGATCAGATGTGGTCCTTTCTCTCTGTTTGATCGCACCCTGAGTCTGATTCTTGACTTGTATCACTTTGAGTATGCAGAGGCTTACTAAGATCTCAACTGCATATTCACAGGTATTGAATCATTTAGGGCTTGGGTGACATATTCCAAGACAGGCAGAGGTTGTGGCCTCTTCAACTTGTTTGTTAATACATGCCATCAAGTAACCTGAAACATATGGCAACCCTCTGAATAAATGACTTCCAAAATGTCTTGTTCTCAACAGCCCTGCTTAGCTCTTGTAAACCTAAGACTGTGGCTTCCTTTATGGAGTCTATCCATCTCATATTTAATCTTTCTCTTTTCCTGCTGCCTTCAGCTTTTCCCAGCATCATTGTATTTTCTAGGGACTCTTCTCTTAATGTGCCCAAAATAAGACAGCCACAATTCAGTCATTTGTGCTTTACAGAAAAATTTCAGGCTTTCTCTTGCTGACCCTTTGATGGGACAGTCTAAAATGAAACTCTTCAGCTGGAGAGATTTCTGTAGCAACCTTAGGGCCCTTTCAACAGGCATGTACCCCTGTGTAATAAGGGTAATGAATCAATGGATGCATGAGTAGTTCCAAAAAGACTGGTCTCGATAGCTGCTGTATATGGGGTTGGAGGTCAGCCACGGGCACAGCATTGCACATAGATGATGATGCCTGTTCATCCTACCCTGTGACCACCTGCATGGTTTCTTGATTCATAAAACCCGGGAGATAATCCTGCCAGAGCAGCTGGAAGAAGCCATTTGCAGTTTTGTGTAAGAGCCGGCTAGAAGGTGGGAGGCCAGGCCCCTGTTCATTCTGCTTTTCAAGCAAGATAAGAGAGATCAACAGGCGAGACAAGGAGTTCTGCCTTTTCTGCCCCCTTCCTGTTTGACTTCCATTCCACTTCAAGGATGAACTTAAGTTGCACTGGTTGTTGAGCTCTCAGAGGACCTGGTAGAGCGCTCATTGTACTTAGGTGCCCTGCGGTGAACTGTGCGACACCCCCAGTGCTAGACATTTGTGGCCCTGCTGCCTCTGAGAGGGCCTGACTCTTCTTTTCCTCACCTGCCCCTTTCCAGATCTCCATCCTGGTGGAAGAAAAGAATACATTGGCTCTGGAAAACAAGACCCTCCGGGAGCAGAAAAATGCTCTGGAGTCAGATGCAGCCGGGCTCACTGGCAAGAAGTTACTTCTCCTGCAGACTCAGATAGAGCAATTGCAAGAGGAGAACTTCCGGTAGGGCAAAGCACCGTAGAGTGGTGGAGGGGAGAGGAGGGCATAGGCCTTTGGGGGCTAAATGGAAAAGGCGGTGAGGCCACTGATGAGTTAAGAGGAGAGATCTAGCTAACAAAATGTCTTCTGGGCAGACTGGAAAATGGCAGGGATGACTTCCGGGCACGTTGTGAAGAACTGGAGAAGGAAGTGCAAGAGTTGCAGCACCGCAATGAAGAGCTGACCTCCTTGGCGGAGGAGGCACAAGCGCTGAAAGACGAGATGGATGTCCTGCGGTAAGAATGGGTCCCAATAGCCTTCCTATAATGCTGCAAAGTAACCTGTTCCTTTGTGTTCCTGGGTAGCTTAGGAAAGGGCCTGTGGACTTGTTGCATTTGTGCATCTCAGGCTAAAGATGTGCTGTGTTACTGATTCTTCCTCCTGCTGCAGACCATTGGGGCCTCTTTCTCCCCTGGTGATCTCTGAGCGTCTCATACCAGAAGACTTTGGGGCAAACCATCAGTTCTGGCATACACCATCTCCTGAGTTTAACTTAGTGCCCTCTGCCCACCGTGTGTAGAGTAGAAGAATCCAAAACTGTTGCTGGTGGTGTTAGAACACAGTCATGGGAGAGACTGGAGGCCTTACTTGAGAAAATAGCTTGAGGCTGGTGACTGGTTCAAGTGATCACACTGCATGAACCAACGCAAATGCATTCAGTTGGGGGGAGGGGAAGTGAAAGTCCCAACAGCAGTGGAAAAAGTACAGATGGGGGGGAACTCTGGCCTGCTTTGCATTGACTTGTATGTCATGTCATTAACAGAAAATAATGTGAATCTCATCATCCTAGTTCTGGAGCATTTCTTGTATTATTTGCCAGTGTAGTTGCCCCCATACTTTCGTCTCACGCTCAACATCCCCCTACCATGGTCATATTTCATACAGTGGCCAAGCCTTGGGTGGGTGAAACTCAGGCTTTTATGCTGTATTGCACCCCCCCTCTTTTTTTAAGACTGGAGCCATGAAGTCCACTAACCAAATTTAGGGTGAAAAATAATGGTCCAGGCAGATCAACAGGTGCTGAACAGTAAGGAACAAGGCTGCCTCTACACACATGCTTAATTCAGGAACCTGTGAACCAAGTTCGTTAGCTATCACACAGAAACCCATTGCTGTTTTTCCCCTGGTGTTCTGCTTTCAGCAACCTCATCTGTGGGACTGAGGAGGGAAACCTCTTAAGTGCTCCCATTAGACAACTCGAAACGCAAAACCCTTCCTGGTCTACTGCAATTTGTCCAGAACTGTATGAGTAGGTCCTGATTTACCTTCTGTCCTCCCATGGGCTAGATGTTCCCCTTCACTTCTACACATAAAAGTAAAATGTATATTTCTGTCATTCAGTGTTGGCCTGTAAGGTAAAACAAATCTCTAGTAGGAAGAGCAGCCAAGGAATATGGCCGCTTGTTGGCTTCTGTTCTCCAGGTTGGTCAGTTCCCTGACGGTGACTTATAGGCCAAAATACATGACTAGCTGGGAACGGACCAGATATTTGCAGTTTGAGAACTGGAAGACAGAGCATTTGGATTAAGAAAAACAAAGTATTTGTTTCTTATCCACTATTGTTTCAGTCTTTTGTTCATCCTGACCTTGCTGTAGCAAGTCCTGTTATTTTGCGCAGAAGCTTCCTACAGCTGATAGAAATAACTGGATTAAAAAGTGGAGCCATTGGAAGGTGAGATTGTCAGCTGGTCTGACATCAAAAAGTTTCAACATTTATGGGTTCTTTGGTTGTTCTTCTTTTGCTGCAGCCACTCATCGGACAGGGTTGGGCGGCTGGAGGCCATGGTGGACTCTTACAAGAAGAAGTTGGAAGATCTGGGTGACCTGAGACGGCAGGTCCGGCTGCTTGAGGAGCGGAACACCGTCTACATGCAGCGCACGTGTGAGCTGGAGGAGGAATTGCGACGAGCCAATGCTGTGCGGGCACAATTGGAAGCACACAAGAGACAGGTGAGGTGGGGGATTGTGGCTTTGCCTGGCTGGGTACATGGAAGACTTCCATGCGGTCAGGTCAGGATAGGGAGAAGGGGAGAGGCAAAATGGTGCTTCAATTTCATGAGGAGAGAAGGCTTGGCCACGAACAAAGTTAGCACTGAAAATGCCAGCTGTTTATGAGGATAAAATCCAGCAGTTTCACTCCTATGTCATTCAGCTTCAGAAAAAAAATATGATTTTGAACCAAGCCAGATTGCAAACATGGATGAGGTGCCTCTCAATTTTGACGTGCCTTCCAAAAGAACTGTTGATGTGAAAGGAATCAAAACAGTAGCAATCAAAACAAGTGGTCATGAAAAGACACACTATACTGCTGTGCTTTCATGCTGTGCAGATGGTACTAAACTGCCTCCTGTGCTGATTTTTAAGAGGAGAACTTATCCTAAAAGAGACCATGCCATGTGGCATTATTGTGCAAATTCACAAGAAGGGATGTATGAATGAAGACATGATGGCCATTTGATTTGCAAAGGTTTGGTCAAGAAGACTTGGGGGGCTCTTAAAGAAGCCAGCTCTACTTGTCTCTGATCAGTTCCAAGCACATTTAACAAAAAAGACAAAAAGAGTTGCATTGGATTTGCGAACACATCTAGCAGTTATTCCTGGTGGACTTACAGGTCAGCTACAGCCACTAGATGTTTCAATCAACAAGCCATTTAAAGTCCTAATGAGAGAAGAATAGATGATTCAAAAAGCAGGTGGTAACTTGACACCGACAGGAAGAGTGAAAAAACAACAACCATTACTGAGTTTAGCAATTGGCTTCTAAATTCATGGTATGGCATCAAAAAAGAGGTGATTGTGAAGTCCTTCAAGAAATGTGGAATCAGCGATGCCATGGACAGAACTGAGGATGATCTCATATATATGGTGACTCAGAAGACAGCAGTGATGTTTGAAACTACTAATAGTGATGAAGAAGAATGCAGTGGTGCAAATAGAGGGTGAATGAAGTGATTTGCTCAGCTGAGGGTGATGCATAATATAGTATTGGCTTGTAAATGTTGCCTAATTACTAAATAAAAATGTGTTCCTTTCTAATGTTTAAAATACTGATTTCTGAATTTTTGGGTTAGAAAATTGGGGTGTGTGTGTCTTATATCGAAAAAAATAGGTAATCAGGCTACATGTTGTTCTCTCCCCCCCCCCCCCAGGGGCGCTGGGATTTCATTTCGACTAAACGACTAAACAAACAAACAAAGACCTCAGAAGGAGGAAAGGTTGAGTCTGCCTCAAGTCAGCTATCTGAGCCTGTTGGGATCAAATTCAGGTCATGAACAGAGCCTTGACTGCAGTACTGCAGTTTAACCATTTGTTATTATATGGTCACAGACCCGAGTGCAGTTTAACCACGTCACCATGACCAGGGAGAGCCAGTCATTTAAAAGTTTCCCAGCAAATCCCATTCTTCCTTCCAGGTGCAGGAGCTCCACACCAAGCATGCAGATGAGGCCTTGAAGGCAGAGAAGTGGCAATTTGAGTTCAAGAACCTTAATGAGAAGTTTGAAGCACTGATAAAAGAAAAGGAGGTAATGTGGGTCTTTTTGCTTAAGGTAGTCTTTGCTTTTGGCTTCATCTAGTCCCAAGAACACAGAAACCTAGAGGCAGTAGGCATCGAGGCCTCTAGATTCTGCTGGTTGTTTAGGGCACTGGTTCTTAACCTTGGGTTACTCAGGTTTTTTGGACTGCAACTCCTAGAAGCCTTCACCAGCTGTGCTGGCTGGGGTTTCTGGGAGCTGCAGTTCAAAAACACCTGAGTAACCCAAGGTTAAGAACCACTGGTTTAGGGCAACAAAGTACAGCAAATAGTTGATGATCTAAGCCAAGTATGAGAGCGTTTGGCTTATGGCTATTGGACTTCCCAGTCCAGCCCACAAGCTTCTTCTGCTCTTCTCTCTAATCACTTATTAGAGATAAGCGTGTATTTAAAATCTCGGAAGCTGTTTTGTGGAACTGGCTTCTGCTTTGCAGTGAGGAAAACTGCTGCACTTTGTAGGCACATGTGGAATTGAGCTGCTCTCTATCTGTAAGGTAGATACAGTGGTGCCTCGCTTAATGATTGCCTCGCTTAATGAGGAAATTGCTGTACGATTAGGTTTTTGCGATCGCTTTTGCGATCACAAAACGGTTTAAATGGGGTTTTTTCATTTAACGATGATCGGTTCCCTGCTTCGCTTTACGACGATCAGCAAACAGCTGATCATCAGGTTTCAAAATGGCCGTCAGCTGAAGAAAATGGCCCCCTCCTGTTTTCTAGGATGGATTCCTCGCTTTACAGGCACCAAAAATGGCCACCGTATGGAGGATCTTCACTGGACGAGCAGGTATTCAGCCCATTGAATGCATTGAACAGTTTTCAATGCGTTTCAATGGGGTTTTTTATTTCGTTTGACAATGTTTTCGCTCTACAGTGATTTCGCTGGAATGAATTAACATCGTCAAGCGAGGCACCACTGTAAATGCCCAAACTGATAAGAAAAGGACTTGCCCTCCAGCTTTGCCTAGGTTTTCTGCCATATCTGTAGCTGGATCCACCCATGGACTATGTCCCACCCCACCCCCAATGACTTCTCTCAAATATGAATTTGGCTTGACAGGTTCCTCCAATTCCTTAAGTATTCTCTGTCCTCCCCACCCACTCCCCAGTTGATGCCTGAATTTGTTCACAGAGGCTGATGGAAGAGCGGGACGCCCTCCGGGAAGCTAATGAAGAGCTGAGATGTGCTCAGGTGCAGCAAACATTCCTTAACCAAGCAGGTAGGCTGCAGGCAATCTACCCACATCTGTCCTGGAGAAGTCCTTGATGGATTGATTGGAGAGCAGAGCACAAGTCCATGTTGAGAGTCCCACATTGCAGTGAATGACTTGCTTTTGTTAAAATCCAGTCAGCTTCCACTTTGTCACTAGAGCAGGCTCGCAGGGAGGGAGATGGGGATCAAGCCCTTCTTGTTCATGGGGGTACTCATAATATGGGATGCCTTGTCCCATTGTGTCCAATTAATCTCTTTTCTGAACATGTGCACACCATGCTAAGAGCCTGTCATTTAGCTGCACATTTTACCAGGCTGTTGCTGTTTGATTGGGTTTAAGCTGGATTTTTTTTAGGGTGAGAGTTGTACAGCTTGTTTTGCTTTTCTGTTGAACTTACTGTAGGGTGGTTAGCTGCCCTGAAGGTCCCATTTGGTATGACAGGGTTCAATATACAATAGATGAGAACAGGAGGAGTCCTGACAACCATCATCTGTTACCAGCAGTAGAAGAGCTGAAAGGGGAATCTTTTAGAGTTTTGAGAATTCTAGCCTTACTCTGATGAAATCTCCCAAAAGATTTTGCCTGGAGGTCTTTTTACCTGACACATGTTTTGGACTGCAACATCTGTAACCCCTTATCATTCAGCAGACTTGTTGTTTAATCGTGTCCGACTCTTCGTGACCCCATGGACCAGAGCACTCCAGGCCCTCCTATCTCCCAGAGTTGAGTCAAATTCATGTTGGTAGCTTCAATGACACTGTCCAACCATCTCGTCCTCTGTCGTCCCCTTCTCCTCTTGTCTTCACACTTTATTAACATCAGGGTCTTTTCCAGGGAGTCTTCTCATGAGAACAGATTAGCTGGGGCTTGCGGGAATTGAAGTTCAGAGCTATCTGGAAGGCCAGAGATCCCATCCCCCCACCCATATCCCAGACCTATGGGTTGCCTGCATATACGTATATGCTCTTTCTCACCCTCTGTAAATTACTAAACTGTGCCTGAACTAGTTCGTTGAGAAGCCTTTCTGCTATTGTTGACCATTGCCTAATGTCTTCCTCTTGACATGACAGGTGGCACTGATATTAATCACATCCTGCTTGATTGCTTGGTCACACTGCAGCATTCATATTGTTTCAGCTTATGCTAGACAAGCTGCCCAGATGTGGCTGAGTCAAGTGTCATGGAAAGCTTTAGTTGTCCCATTTTAGAAGCTCTGTATTAAATGGGGACACTGCATTCCCTCCCCCCAAGCTCCCTAACACCTGCACCACTGAACCAGGAGGCAGAATAAATGTAACCTGTTCTCTCCCCCTTCCCTGTGTAGATGCCATGCTTGAAGAAATTCCTTCTCCTGTGGATAACCTGGCAGCTGAAATCATGCCGACAGAACTCAAGTAACTTTTAGTTCTTTGGGGATTTTTTAAAATTGGAAATGGGAGGGCAAAAGCTTGAGGGACCAAGCCTGGATCAGGGGCTTACTGTTTTTCATGGTTATACTTGGCTTGTCCTTTCCATTAGGGGCTTAATTTAGGGTGGCCAGGAAATCCAGGCTTGGGAGGACTGCAAAGTGAAATGCCCCATCCCTTGTGGTGTCTTAAATGCAGAGAAAAGGGATGCAGGTAATGCTGTCAGCCACTTTTCTGCCTTATCTGCACATATTTTATGTTTATTCCTGCATTTTAAAACTTATTCAGCAGTCAAATATTGTTTTCAGCATTTATTTGTATTCAAAACTTTATTTCATTTCCTTCATTGGTTTAATTGATTAAGGAAGTTTTTATTCCAGCTAAGAGTTAATTGGCATTCTAAACTCTGGATATACTTTAGGACCTCCTTAATGAATTGAGCCAGTTAAATTAATATAAAAATATATAACTTTAGATAAAAAATAGATACTGAGAACAGTATTTTACTAATGAAAAAGTTCAAATGAGCAGGAATAAACATAAAATATCTGCAGATAAGCAGAGACTATGTCTGTGCCACCAGTTTTTGCCAGTGGATCACACTGCATTTTTTTCCCAACGTCGTTTTGTCTTGTTTTGTTTTTAATTGGGGGGCTGTTGAGAGGCTACAAAGGTTGGCTGCATGTGGCTTGCAGGTTGTGTAAGGACAACCCCAACTTAAGTGAATGTTCCTCACAGATACTGTAGTTCGTACAGTTGGGGAAGGTGCGTTCCAGACCACTGTAAAGAATTCTTGAGATCATCTGTCCCCGAAGGCATTACTCTTTTTTTCCCCACAGGAGTATTCTTTGTGGAAGTGGCTGCATTCAAGGGTATCCTATCTAGGTGCTAGTGTTCCTTTTAAGCTCAGATCATGGGGCAAAGGAAGAATTGAGCGTGAGCAGGAGCGATGTGCCTTTTTTTTTCTTATATATCCGTAGCTTTGACTCTTGTGCCTTCTCATTTTCCTTGGTCTGGCCAGCTTCACATACTGTTTCTTGTGCCCAGGGAGACCATTGTGCGGCTGCAGCATGAGAACAAGATGCTGTGTGCACAGGAGCTGTCATACCGGCAACAGCAGACTGAGTTGCAGGGGCTGCTGGAAGAATCTAATCGCACCAAGAACCAGCTGGAAGCACAGCAAAGGTATTCCATGCACCTGGAGAACTTGCTCTCACATCCACTGGATGTGAAGACTCAGCTAAGAAGGCTTTGTATTTCTTCTCCAGTCCAAGAAAAAGAGAAGAACTGGCACAGTTTCTTAGCTAGATTTTGGTCGAATATTACCATAAACTACTAAATGCAGCCCTTCTTGTATAGAATATTTGCAGCCTGTTTAAAGTAAGTAGGCATGTCAGTTGTTTGCCCATAAAGTGAAGCCATGTTTATCTATGCAAGTTGGGGGTGGCTAACCTTATGTGGTCTTTGCCTGGTGAATATTCATTATTGATTTTCCACCTAGCATAAGTGTTTCTGATTAGTGAGGGATGAGCTGCCCTCTGTTCACACAGACTGCTTCTCAGATGTGAGTCAAAGCATTTCATGTGGGTTTTTTTAAAAAGGGAGTTGCTTGTATAATTTCTGAGATGTGTTATCTTCAAGGCCTCAGCCAGTTGCAAAAGAGAGAGAAGGAAAGTGACACACAGAGAGAGAGAGAGAGTTTCTATTTGAGTTGTGGTGGGTTATAAGGTTTCATGCTCCTGAACTGCAAAGGATCTCTTCTTAGCTCTGGAGATGCCATTTATAGCCCAAGCTTTATAGGTGCTGACAATATCCACCTGTTTGGGCTTTTTTGTTGTTGCAAACTCACCTGAGTTGCTAATGTGGAGAGCTTTTTGAGGTGACAACAGGTTTTCCAATGGCTGCATAATGGTGTCCAAGGCACCCAGGACTCAGGGACACTTGGAAATCCCTTCTATCCCTGGTTGCAGCTGTTTCGTATGGCCAGGAGAAGCCTTGATAGGCAGAAAGCCCCTGGCTCGACTCAGCAATCATGTTTTAGACTTGGGCCAGAGTGGGCACTCTGAGAAATGTCTTGTGGCTTAGATTTTTACAGCTGTTTAGATGAGTATTCTGACTTCATGAAGATTGTATCAGATCACAAATACAGCACGTTTCTAATTTTAACAAGTTCCTCCTCCTTTGACATATTGAATAATGATGGATAATAATAATGCTAATAATGTTTGTTGAAAGATTCACTGCATATGTCAAAACTTGCTTTTTCATTTCCATATCAGCAATTTTGCCTTTTCCCCTGCACCTTATTATCTGTGAACATTAGGGGGGAGAGGATGGCGAGCAGGGTTGTGCTGCTCTCCCGTGTACTTAAACAAGTGTGGCATGTCTGGGAACTGGAAGGCTGATTGCCAGTGCACTCCTATACGTGTCCACTCTGAAGGGAGGCCCTGTGAGTTGAATGGATGCTGACTTTCTGGGAGTAAGACCCACCGAATGACATGTAGCAGATGTCTAAGTAGCTACATATGGGATTGAACTGTTACTATTAGTATCTTCTACTAGTGCCTTATTACTTGGGTGGACAGAGCTGTTGTTAGTTGTAGCTAACTCTTCCCTGGGCAATATGTTTGTTGTCTGTGTCTAGGCTGAGCCAGCAAGAGATCTCTGAGCTCAAGGCACAAGTGGAGGAGCTCCAGCGCGCCCTCCAGGAGCAAGGAAGCAAAGCGGAAGATGTGAGTCCCCGTCCGGGAGGGTTTATGTTGGGCTTCTGGAGAAGCATCCACCTCTGGGAAAACCTCTACAGAGGCAGATAATGCTTCTGCTCAGCCACCGTGCGGATCTCCATGCAAGATGGCAGTAATGAAGATTGCCAGGCATGCATCTGCCAGACGCACACGGGGAACTTTAAAAAAAAATCTTTATGTCTTTGTTGTGTTGTTGCACCTGAGTATGTTCTGATTTTTATGTATGTGATGGGACACTTGGGTAGCTTAGGACTCAGAGAAACAAATAAGGAAAGGGAGCTAAGCTACAAAAAGTGGTCATAAAATGGGGCTGAGATTCTTTAAGTAGATAGAATTAACATGATACATGGTACATGCAAGGCTGCCCCATAGTAGACAAAGGAGTACTGTTTCTATGGAGGCATTGTTTCTCAGGGGATTGTGTGTGTGTAGTGTGGCTTAGACTCCCAGTAAGATCCTTCTGTTTCCTCCCCAGTGACTTTTGCTGAAACTCACCACAGTCTCTCCTAACTTTTGACCCCACTCCCACTTTGCTAATAGTCCTCTCTTTCTCCCCTTTGACTTGCTGGCTGTCCTGCTCAGGCCATTGTAAGTACTCTCATGCTCTGTGTCGCTTCCGCCATCGACCCTGCTCTGCTGCCAAGTTACCCTTGTTTCTCTCCCATCACTCTAGTGTCTCAGCGTATCAAAAGCAAAGCGTGTTTCTTTATATACTGCCCCATAGTGCTTAAAATATCAGGGAGAAGAGGCCACTCTGGATTCACAAACCAAGAGCTGCTTAGAGGTCTCACTGTTGTGAAGGTTCAGATGGACACAGGCGCTGTTTTCACAAGTCTGAAGCAAAGCAGAGCATCATGGATGCTGTTTTGGGTTGTTAAATGTTGTTCCCATTGCATGCTGGTGTTCTGAAAAGCTAGTGGCATCGGCCAATTCTTTTTGGTACTTCTTATAATATATGTGCTATATAAATTCCAAAATTGCTTTTTGGTACTTCTTATAACATATGTGCTATATAAATTCCAAAATTGCTCCAAAGAGATGCAGCAGCTGCTGTTTTACCATTCTTGAAACAAAGTGCAGCCTGTGGGACAACAGAACACGAGGATAAGGAATGTGCACTAATTGTGCATCTCATATACTAGCCCATTGGTTCCCCAACCTTGCATCCCCAGATGTTCTTGGACTAAAATTCCCAAAAGCCTTCTTACCACTAGCTGAGCTGGCTAGGATTCCTGGGAGTTGCAGTTCAAGAACAGCTGGGTTATCTAAAGTTGGGAACCACTCTACTAACCACTCTAGAAATAGTTGCAGTTTAGCAGCTTCCCAAGGAAGGGTATTACCACATACTGGTTGCTGAAAAGAGTACTCCATAACTGCCTGCATTTTGAGAGCCCTTATGCTAGAGACGAGGGCATGTGAGGCTGAGGCTGAAACACTGCAAAGGGCCACAGGGCCTAATGAACCAAAAAGGGCTTTGGTCTGATCCAGTAGGTCTCTTCTTATGTCCTCTGAACTCACTGTGATGAACCTGAATGGAAATCCTCAATTCTCGGTGTCGTGAACGCCAGTCAACACAAAATCTTCAAGACCTGTGAATGTGTACCTGACTAGCATAACCAGAGGGCAGATTTTAAAGCCTTTAAATACAGGTGGTAGTGAAACTACTGTATGCAAGTTCTGATGTTTATTGCTGTTCATAATGATTATGCCACTCGTTCAGTGGCCAAACAATTCAGAGCAGGGTTGTGATTTGCTACTTCCGCTACTGGATTAGCAAGCAACACAAGCTGCACAACAGCACAACAATTATTTATGCCCAATGTAGTGGCTATTTGAGTCATTAAATACATCCTAAACAGTCTTTTTTTTCTTTTTCGCCCCAGTCCTCTCTGCTGCAAAAGAAGCTGGAGGAACATCTGTAAGTAGTTCTATTCAGTCTCTGGGTCAGGGGTGGAAAGAGGGTTCTGTGAATTTAAAACTCAAGAACTCTGCCCTCTTACATTGAATAGATGTGCCTCTGCACCTATTGAACATGTCCTTTTTTTTGGGGGGGAGGCATATTTTATTGAGTATACAATGTTTCCAAGTGAGACCTTCAGTCCCATATCATTTGGCTCTAAGGGCCTTATTCTTCAAGCTAGTTGTGCCTAATTCTCATTTTCTCCTGTTCCTTGGGCAGAGAGAAATTGCATGAAGCTCATGCGGAGCTTCAAAAGAAGAAGGAATGCCTTGATGAACTGGAACCCAAAGTGGACATTAGCAGTAAGTGGTTGCATAGTAGATCCATTCCTTGATACTCTCATCTATATCGTCTAGTCCTTCCTGGTTATTGAGAAGATGGAAAAGGATGAGTGTTGTGGGATCCAGAAATGGCATCTGTTCTTCTAAGCCATCCACAAATAGTGCTTTTTTAAAGCGGCAGGAAAAGAGGGATGCAACTCCTAGCTATTTCCCTGTCTTTTTTTATGTTCATTCCAACACCTTTCTACTGATTTAGTGGCAAAATATTGTTTGCGACTTTCATTTTTGTTTGAACATGTTCTTTATCCTAAATTGTCTTATAATTGAATAAGGAAGTATACCCTCAGAGTATTTACCTCAATTTCCACCTGCTAGTTAATCCAGGAAGTCCATTGTTCAAGTGAAGATTTATTAATCAGTTAAACAAAAATAGAAACTGTAAACAACATTTTACCATTAAATCGGTTGAAACAAATTGGAATAAATGAGGCGTGTCATTAATTTAAAATGGCTGTTTGTGTTGCCTTTTGTTTTGGTAGCTTTTTTTTCGGTAGGGTCATTTCTGGACAAATTGAAATTTGGCCCTCAGCCTGACTGAGATCTGTGCTTTGAAATAATCTCGTATCAGACTATTGAAGACTGGTCTGTCCTAGGGTAGTTGCATTCTTAAAGTGACTGTGCTTTCCTTACAACCATCCAAATTTGGAGTTTGTGCAACACTGATTTCCCAGCTTTTTTCAACAGCTGCCAAGAAGATCGATGAACTAGAGCAGTCCCTGAAGAAGAAGGATGAAGACATGAGAGCCATGGAGGAACGATACAAACGCTATATGGACAAGGCCTGTACAGTACGTGGAATTTTTGTACCACTTTGTATCAGAGGGTGCAGGTCCAAACCTGATGGCCTCTGGAGATGTAAAGTCTTGCAGAACAGTCACATTCCCATGTAGCCAGTGTGGCTCAGTGAGGAATGCTCCTTCTGGGCCTGTTTAATGGTTTAAATGTCGGCACCCTGGCAAAGCCTGGCTATTACGGATGTTGTGTCCATTCTTTCCCAGGTCATCAAGAAACTAGACCCCAAGCAGCAGCCTCATGTAGTACCTCTGGAGATCCAGGCTTTGAAAAATCAACTGCAGGAAAAAGATAAGAAAATAAGCCACCTGGAGGTGAGTTTCTTTTCCTCCATTAAAAGACAAGGGTTGCAACCTCGAGATCAATAAACATGTAATGTTACGTTTTGTTTTAAATGAATGGAATTTTGCAAAAAACAGAAGGCCTTGGGTCTTTAAAACAAACAAACAAACAAACAAACAATATACCCTGTTTCCCCGAAAATAAGACCTAACCTGAAAATAAGCCCTAGTATGATTTTTCGTAATATAAGCGCTACCCCAAAAATAAGCCCCAGTTAAGTGAAACCCCGCCCTCCACCATTGTGCATCAACTGGAAGAAGATGACATGACTGTATTTGAATAAATGTAGATTGTTGTACATGAAAAAAAATCCCCTTAAAATAAGCCCTAATGCGTTTTGGGGGCAAAAATTAATATAAGACCCTGTCTTGTTTTTGAGGAAACATGGTAGCTATGGGGCCTGGTTGTGGATCACAGAGGACTCTGAGCTTCTACACTTGGGATCCTTTTTCATTCAGACCACTTGAGGAACTGTGGAACACGATGGCTGATGATCAGAATCGAGGCCCTGATCACATAATAACCTATCTCACAAAGGTGAAGCTAGAACAAAATAGAATAGAACAGCTCAGACCCCCTTGAGAGTCCAGTGGAGTGGCAATGGATGACATGCCCTGTTCCAGTAGAGAACGAGCCATTGCTTTACCAGCCACCGCCTACGAAGAGAGGTTCTTCTCCAGCTTGCACAATAAGCAATCTGCAAGTCACTGGCATAATAGCTACTACAATGGTATCAATACCCACAACTATCCAGGAATAAATCTTTATTATTTGTAATTAGCAACAACTATAGTTGGTCTTGCTATTTTACTAATTTCAGAAGGTAGTGGTACACCTAGGTATCTTATTGGTATATTACCAGTTTTCAGACCATTGAAAACAATACACACTTTATCACATGAAGAATAAATTCTGCTCTCTATTTTAACTTCCATCTGGAATTCAGTGCAACTGAGCTTTCTACAGTCTGTCACTGTTAAAGCTGAGTTTTGACTTGGAATGAGCCTGTTTGGATACCATTTACCTGATGTGTAGAATGAATGGTAGTTTGGTGACTGTAGGCGTCCCTGCCTTGTGCTTCATTGGAGAATTTAATTATTTATCAATTGCCTATTGACAAGGATCCTTGAAAATGGTATTTCATAACATGGCTTTACCTCTTATTATTAGTCATAATGCAGTGTTATAAATGCTTCAGATATGCCCACTCTACCCCATAAAATGCATCTGTTCTATCTAGAAATAAGCAACTGAGGCTCCATTATGTGACATTAATACCTTTCTTTGTTTTCATCTTAAGATGACTGTCTTTTTTGACACCTGTGTGGTGTAGGTGTATGCATTTTACAAGTCATTGTCATTTAAGCTAACTGCTTAAAGGCCAGCCATCATTTTATAGTAAAGTATAGACTTAATAGTGATTAAGAGCAATTTGAATTAATTCCTTGCTTAGGAATTAGTACTATTTTGTTCTGCTTTCCAAATAACTGGAATGACTCCCCCTGCCCCAAAAGTCAGGATTTGAAAAAAATTCTAATGAAATTCATATAAAGGTTTTCTAATCCTGGGGGGTATATTCTTTCAAGTATTTAAATACAATAATGGGTTGAATGCCTTCTTTTTAATTTAAACTGGATTGTGTTCCAGAATTAAAACCTGAGAGGTTTCTTTAAAATTCTTCTTGTTCGGGGTACTCCACTTTGTAAAATGTTTCATGGCACTTAGTTTTTTTTATTACTTTATGGTTTTTGTTAGTAGATTTGCTTTTTCATTACTAAAAGCATTATACTCTATTCTTGCTTTTCTTGTTGTATTAGACTGATTTTGAGAAGACAAAATCTCAGCAGGAGCAGGAAGAGAAGCTCATAATCACTGCCTGGTATAATATGGTGAGTTTCAATTGGGCTTCGTGTAAGTACAGTGAAAGAAGGAGAGGAGAACAAAACAGCCTGACAGGCAATTTCTGGCTACTGATTCCTATTAGCAGTAGGCATGGGAAGATATTAATAGTCTTCCAGATGTGTATGTGGAATTGATAGCCTGTAAAGTTTTTTCCCCTCATCATAAGAATCTACATTTCTTTTTTAAAAAGTTTGTTTCTGAAGTTACAACTAGTAAAAGTTTTTTTTCCTCATCATAAGAATCTACATTTCTTTTTAAAAGTTTGTTTCTGAAGTTACAACTAGTAAGTGAGGGGCTAAAAGCCTTTGAGCCTCCTCATATTTTGGTCTGTAGTATTCAGCAGCCCCACTCAACACAGCCACTGACAAGGGATTGTGGCCATCATAAACCAAAGGTTCCCTGCTCCTGCACTGGGCTTTTCAGAGTGTAACACCTTGAAGACATACAGATGCTTGACAGGTCTTCTCACTATGGGGGATCAGCACTTGTGTGGACTATATGCCATTCCGCCTGTCCTCCTTGTCTCCTAGCATAAACTTTAACTTAAGAACATAAGAAGAGCCCTGCTGGATCAGGCCAAGGACCCATCTAGTCCAGCTTCCTGTATCTTGCAGTGGCTTCACTAGATGTTTCTGAGAGCACACCAGACCACTAGAGACCTGTCTCCTGATACCCCTTCCCCTGCATCTGGCATTTGGAGGTACCTTCCTTCTAAGCCTGGAGATTATACATCTCCATCATGACTTGTAACTTGAAATGGACCTTTCCCCTCCAGGAATCTGACCAATCCCCTTTTAAAGGCATCTAGGCCAGATGCCATCACCACATCCGGTGGCAAGGAGTTCCACAGACTAACAACATGCTGGGTAAAGAAATATTTTCTTTGGTCTGTTATCACTCTCCTAACACTCAATTGAGTGGATGTCCCCTGGTTTTGGTATTGCGTGAGAGGGAAAAGAGCTTCCCTCTATTTATTTTATCCATCTCCTGCATAATTTTATATGTCTCAATCATGTCCCCCCCCAACACTTTTTCTCTAGAGCCCCAAATGCTGTAGCCTGTCCTCATAAGGAAACAGCACTGTAAGGTACATCAGGTGCAACATTAACAACACCCCATGATGCAGATTATTACATGCCTGGGGTGCAGAATTTGTAATCCTGTGGTATAGAATACATGCATTCCAGGTCAGAGCCACATGGAGAAAGACTGTTGATGAGCCTTCATCTGAGGGCACAACCTGAACTCACTACCCTTTCTCTCTTACTACAGGGCCTAGCATTGCACCAAAGAGCTACAGAAGAACGATCGTCTAGTCCTGCAACAGTCCAGTCTTTCTTGGCTCAGCAAAGGCTGGCCACTAATAGCCGAAGGGGCCACCTGAGCCGAACTCAGCCTTTGCTGCATCGATACATGGGTGCAGACAAGGCCTCTTAGTTACCATGATCTGGAAGAGTTATTTAGGGAGTGCTTGTGGGGTGCAGCAGTGTATCCAAAGTGTGTGGAATCTGAGTTCCTGCTCTCCATACATTGATACCTCCTTGGGAATTTCAGTTTCCATCTCTATTGGTGACATGAATTGTCGGATGTACAGGGTTTCTCCTCTGCCAAGTCCCAGTCCTCTTAAATGAGAAGAGTTGGATCATGCCTTGCAGATAAGAGATGTATCTATTCTCTTCTTTAGTACTGGAGGGGGAAGGCTGATCCAGAGGCAGTATCCATGAGAGATGGGAGACACACACACACCGCCCCATCATATATTACCTCTTAGATTCTGGTTTGTGTGTGGCTTCCACCTCACCCTTACATCTGAAAATGCTCCTCCTCCCAGACTCATCTTCATATGGTCTGGTAGTCATTTACTGCCTTTCAGATCTCCTCTGTTGGAAGTGGAGGATTTCATCCTCCCTCTGGGTTCTATTCCATGAATTCCATGATGCAGGAGGGCAAGGGGATCATGGCTCTGATCTTGGCCATGGAATCCGACATGGACTCCCTTTAAAGAGAACACCACTACCTAAGTCCGGTCTCCCTACTCCTGCTACCCCTCCAGTGCCCGAGGCTCGTCTGGCACATCTTTTCTTTCAGGCTTATGGCTCCCTTCTAAGAAGGGACTGGGCTTGGATGCAAAGAAGAACTCTGCTCGAAATGGTATAAACACTAAACTCGCTTTAGATTTAAGGGGCTGAGGAAGGGCTTGAAATCCTGCCTGTTAACAATTGGTGTGCACACCTATGAACTGTCCTGTCCTCGCAGCAATATTTAGAGTGTGGTGCTTGTTTCTAAAAAAAAAAGTTGTTCTGGTTTTTATTTTTTGTTTTTCCTTTAGTACAGTGGTCCTCAACGTTGGGCCTCCAGATGTTCTTGGACTTCAACTCCCAGAAATCCTGGCCAGAAGAGGTGGTGGTGTAGGCTTCTGGGAGTTGTAGTCCAAGAACATCTGGAGGCCCAAGGTTGGGGACCACTGCTTTAGTATGTCTTTCCTTTTGAATCATATTCCCATTCTGGGAGGAATGAATCATTTAGTATTCTTTTAAAAATCTGTTCTTTAAATTTGATTTTTAGTAAAAATCATAGTTTTAACACTGTAAATGGTACATTTTGTAAAGCGTCTTGTTCATCCAGAGGGTTATCTCTGCCTCTTTATTTTTCTATTGGACAGAACTTGGCATACAGTCGTGTACGGCAGATGTTCCTCTTGAAAATTTACACTGCAAATAAAAGGTTATAAAACACTTTATGTAGTTTCATTCCTTTTTTTAATTATTTTTTTCTTAAACTACAACATAAACATAAAATACATAAACCAAAATACAAATCGACTGTGTTTCCCACCACCATAGTCGGGACCTCTTGCTGTAATCCTCTTCTTTCTCTGTCTTTTTTCTTCTTCTTCGTTTATTGTCCTTTTCTCCAGAACTGCATTGATTCTTGATTTGGAGCTTTCCCTTTTCCTCTTGTTAGCACATATTCAAGAAATCTGCCCCATATATCATAGAAATTGTTCTTTTTTTTATCTGTCCTTTCTTAACCTTTAAGTTACAAGTTAACTTATCATTTATAGCAATGTTCCATATTTCATTATACCATTCTTCCAATTCAGACTTTGATTCCCATTTCCTAGCTATTATTAATCTGGCTACTGTTAATAAATTTGTAATCAACTCTCTAGTCATCTTATCATATTTCACATTCTGAAATATTGATAACAGAGCTATCTCAGGATTAAATTCTGTATCTTTTTCACATATGTCATTTAGTTCTTTAAAGATTAGTTTTCAAAATCTTTGTACTTTTTCGCATTCCCACCACATATTAAAGTATGTACCAATTTCCTTCTCACATTTCCAACAGATATTCAGATAACTAGCATTTTTATTCAATTTTGTTGGTGTCAAATACCATCTTAAACCCAATTTGAAAAAAATGTTTCTCGTATTCTCACTGACATAAATCGTAAAACCCTCATTTTCCACATCTTCCTTCATTCTTCATCATTTATTTTTTTTCCTAAGTCTTCTTCCCACACTAACTTCAATCCTTCTTTCTCAGTCTCTTCTTCTAAATCAAGCAGAAATCTATAAATTTTACTCACTGCACCCTTTACTGAATCGGTCATCTGAATATCTTCATATGATAACAGAAACTGTTCATACTTAGTATATTCTCTACCTTTATTGTACTTCTTTACCATTCATTAATCCATCTTTCTAATTGCATATACTGTAATTCAACCATGATATATTTTTATTTTGAAGGATTTGTTTCATTTGATCTTTCAATCTCATTTTATACAACCAGCCTTTTAATCTAATCACCTTTTTCTTTAAATAATTCTGCATAAACTTTCATATTGACAGGAAAATTCTCTATTTCAGTCACTAATCCTAATGGAGAGTTAAATGGACAGAAATTCTTTCTATACTTGTACCAGATGTTTAACATAATCTTTGAAAACGTGTTATTGATTTCGCTTATTTTCTATTTCTTAATCATATCAAATATATATTTTTCAATGTTGTTTAGTTGTGTCCGACTCTTCATGACCCCATGGACCAGAGCACGCCAGGCCCTCCTGTCTTCCACGGCCTCCCGGAGTTCTGTCAAATTCATGTTGGTTGCTTCGCAGACACTGTCCAGCCATCTCATCCTCTGTCGTCCCCTTCTCCTCTTGCCTTCACACTTTCCCAGCATCAGGGTCTTTTCCAGGGAGTCTTCTCTTC